TCCCTCCCTAAAAAAAAAAAAAAAAAAAAAGAATCTAATCATTTGCATTGTCAAAGAACGTCAGAAAATATAGCTTGTCATTTTTGTCAGCTTCCCGTTTTTTTGTCATTGCTAATAGTGCAGTTTCTCTTATTGTATTAGTTAGACTAGAAAGTTCTTCAGCAAGTTTGGGGTCATTTTTCCCCCCACACTAACATTTTTGTTTAATCCATGAAACAATTATCAACTACACTGCATCATGCAAATCCCACTGATCTGTTTGGTTTTGGTTTTTTTTTCCTCCCAAACTTGCATGCATGAAATTCATTTCTGCCGGGCTGTGTCGGCACCGGTCAGAGTCTCACTGGGCTGGACACCTAAGCGAGGGGGACCCAAAGGGATCCGTCTGTCCCCAGAGCACAGCACAGCGCGGGGCAGGGCAGGGCAGCAGTTGGCTCCGAGAAAAGGGGACTGAAAAGCGTTTGAACAAAACCAGTCCAGGACACCAAGAGATAAGGGACTGGTTTTCTGTTCAGAAGTTTAGTTCCTGAGATGTCCAGATGAGGCCACTGTGGCTTTATTATCCCGATTTCAGGAGAGGGAGTTAATTTGGTTACCTCAGAGTTTCCCCCTCTCCAAAACTGCAAGCGTGCTCAATAGCCTGTTTTTCTGCTGGAGAACAAAGAAAAGGAAATGCTTATTTATTTTTTTTCTTTCTTTCTTCATGCAGTGGTTACTGTACTCGGGGAGGCAGGAAGGGAACCGGACAATAGAAGCTGCAGATGTGGAATTTCTTTTATAAATCCCCTTTGCTGCTGTTGCTGCTGCTTGACAGGCAGTAGAGATAGGGCAATGCCGTAGCGGGGGATGCTGCGAGGCCGAAGCAGGGCAAGCATTTTCGTTTGACAGAGAGCTTTGCAACAGCCCGGCCCAGACTGTTCAGGCTTAGTTTCGACTCGGCAGCGCGATGCAAAACCAGGGAAGGGTACAGAGCCTTTTGGCTGAGTCACGCTGTTAGGAAATGGGGATTTCTGTGGTGAGAGGCCAGGCTGGGCCCTGCCAAGTCCCCAGGCAGTGAACTCTAACGCGTTTCGGAGACGGGGACGACGTTCCCATCCAAAAATATCTGGCCAGCTATGGCAGGGGAGACTGTGGCTACAGGGAGACTGTGCTTCCTTTGTGTTTTTTTTTGTCTGTTACTAAAAGTGACCTCCCGAAGGAAGAGCTCTGAGCAGACGGTGGGGCCGTGGGCGCACTTGCGAGCCCCGCCATGGGGAGGGCCGCCGGAGAGGTTCCTCCTTCCAGCACTGTGGCTGAAAGAAGGGAAATGCCTAACTTTGTAAAATGCTCTCTAAAGGGCTTTTTTCTTCCCTTCGTGTGTGCTGCTGCAGAAGGGAATGCCTTGTTCCAACCCAATTAGGCCGTCTGATAATAGGTGCATTTTTAGCAGCAGCTGGGCAGACAACCCCAAGTCGGGGCCCACGAAAGGCTCTCGGTTTTGCTTCTCCACCTGCTTGGGCTGAAGGCCACATTTTAGCCTTAGGTCCCCCTGTCAGGCAAGGCCAGATGTGGCCCCATCTTGGCCTGCTGCTCCGTTTCCTCTCCCCCGCCGAGTGGCTCCTCTGCCTACAGCACGGGCAGCGTGTTTGGATGGTGGTTAACAAGAACATTGACTCAGAGCTTATGTCTGTGGTGGGATTTACTATAGTGTTTGTTTGTAAACTGACAAATGTTGGCGGAGAGCGCTTGTGAGGGAGGGAGCTACGACTGTCGGTCAGGCTGCCAACCCGCTCTAACCGAACAGATACAGCGGCCCCAGCCCTTTTCAGGCTCATCCAGGCGCTCCAGGGAATGTAATATTTCAGCCTCAGGACCAGTTGTTTTTATGCCATGCAGCTCTGTGAAGGCGTACTTCCAAATTGTGTGGCTTGCTCAGCTTGCCACCATCTTGCGCTTCCGGCTGTGGTCCTGGCTCCTCTCTTGTTGTAGGACCCCGCTTGCCAGACACAGCCACAGGGGTGCCCTCTCCTTTCCCTCTTCTCCCACACAGGTGCAGCTCTGTGAGGGACCCAAAAACTGAAGAGAGGACAAGCAGTGCTTGGCAGTAAGAAGGGGCTGCAGGGATTGACTCCAAATAGGTTGCTGGGTGCCCCAACTCCCAGCTGCAGCTTCATGCCTAGTCCTTTAGCATCCGAGCTAATGCAAGGTTTTAAGGAGAAGTTCTCTGAAATGAGGTGATGGGGAGGGTACACCTGTCACCAAATCTCTCAGGCAGCAGCAAAGCATCTCCATCATCATGGACCCGCTGGAGAGGAAAAGCCCTGAAATTCTTGTACTGTTTGCTGCAATTTTCACCTAGTTTAAATGGCGTCTGAAGGTTTTGCGTATCCTTTTTAGGGACCCTTTGAGTTTAAAGTCACTGCATATTCCTTTAGCAATACAATTTCCTTTCATCAGCAGAGCTAGCTTCAGCTGTTGTTGGGTATTATTATACCTCACTGCTTCCTTCCTCTCCCATCAGTCCCTCTATCCCAGAGTTAAATGTCATTTATAGTTCGAGCTATTTGACTGCTCGTCCTCCTGTACCCCAGAATAGCCCAGAAAGACAGGAAAGTTCACAGGGGAAGGGACCTCAAGTAACTACATTTTCTGCAGCACAAAAGAGCCAGACACCCAAAATCTCGCTGATAGATGTGAAAGTAGCACAGGACATTTAGGACAGAGTAATTTGGGCAGAACTGCGTGGTGTGAGCGCTCACACTTGGCGACGTGGGTAGCAAGCAATCATCCAAGTGGGCGCAGATGCCACTGGAAAATGTCACTGCTGCAGTGAAGGTGGTAGCCTTTCTGAAAAGAAAGATGCCTATCCTCACCACAAAGGAGATATCACAGCTAAGGCTTTTTACGAGCATTAACTTTTTCTTTTTTTTTTTTTTTTAACTGAACAGAAAACAAGGACTCGCGTGAAAAGTCTTTACTAGCATTTCTGCAGCATGCAAAGTTTTCTGGTGGACTGGTAACTATTTCAGTGAAATCAGGAACATCAAAATAAAAATGATTGTGAAAACGTCCTTTAAATCTGAATTGAAATGATGGCTTTTTTGTTTGCTTGTTTTCTTCTATAGCTTGCTTGTTTGTTTTTTGAAGCCACTCTTGTTAATTGTCCTGCAGCCATGGTATGTACCAGATAGCCAAGAAAGCTGACATGGTGAAGTTATATACAGCATCCTTGTGACCTTTTTGTGAAGATACATATCTGTCCAATAAAGCCCAGGCCAAATGACAGTGACAGCTGCCTTGTGGCATTCAGTTTGAATTGAACAGGTTTGCTCACAAGTCAGGAGCAAGTATTTCATTACAGACTGTGCACCAAGACCATCATAAGCCCCCAAAAGTGAAACTTTCCCTCAGCAGCTATGGAAACTGCCCCGGTGGACTGAGATGCACTTCACAGGCTCCTCCTTGTCTCCTTGCTTTGACTTTCCCGCCTCCTGCAAGCTGTTATCCTCTGTTGGCATTTGCATGTTGGTGTAGCACTTGCAAGGGAAGAAAACCTCACTTCATCTCTCAGGAGGGAACCGGGGTGTTATGGGAACTGAGCACTCGAAGAATGAGGGGCGAAGGAGCATGGTTTTTCTGAGGAAGGGTCCAAACGGGGATTGCGTTATGTCAGCTTGAGCCTCATAATGAAAGGGATGACCAGCACGCCCGACTTCTTGTGGGGACTGCCCGAGGTGCAGAAACTGAACCTTTCACGCAACCAGCTGGTGGTGATTCCTCCTTCGCTGGGGAAACTGGACAGGCTGGTAGTGCTGAATTTGGGGGGCAACTGCCTCAAGCATCTGCCTAAAGAGATTGGGCTGCTGAGGAACCTGAAGGTCTTGTTCGTCAATATGAATTGCCTGACAGAAGTGCCAGCAGAGCTCAGCTTGTGCAGGAAGCTGGAGGTTTTGAGCCTCTCTCACAACTGCATCTCGCAACTGCCTTTGAGCTTCACTGACCTGACAAGTTTGAGGAAACTGAACCTCAGTAACAACCGCTTTGTGCAAATTCCCCTCTGCATTTTTGCACTGAGGAGCTTAGACTTCTTGCACCTAGGGTCCAACAGGCTTGAAAACATTGCAGAGAGTGTCCAGTATCTGGTCAATTTGCAAATCTTTATAGTAGAGAATAACAACATACGCAGCCTGCCACGGTCTCTCTGCTTCATCAACGCTCTGGAGTTGCTAAATGTCGATTACAACGCCATACAGACTCTCCCGGACGACCTCTACCTGCTGCGCCGGCTGCCACGCATCGCCTGGAACCCCATGGACAAAGGCCTCCACCTCGCCCACAACCCCTTGTCCCGGCCCCTGCCCGAGGTCATTGAGGGGGGGCTGGACGTCCTCTTCAACTACCTCAGGGAGAAAAAGGAGCACAACTGAGTTTCCGCTGAGCTTGGGATTAAGCCTGTCATCGGGACTCAGTCGTACCGGAGCTCTCTCCCGCACAGGCATTTCCACTTCATAACACTTGGATTTCGAAGACTGTGGATGGCTCTAGTAACGGTTGGAGGAAAGCAAGTATGATGGCCTTGATTAAGTGTGTGAAGAGTAACTTTCTAAAAATAGCCACCTCTGTAACCTTCAGTGTCGGTGTGCTTAGGTTTTTTTAGGAAAAAGAAAACCAACAAACTTGTGATAAAATGTTTGCTCTTCGTTTGACAGAAACAAATTAAGGCAGACTGCTAGAAGTGCAGAAACGTGTGTTTGCCAGCTATTAGGTTGGAAGAATATTAATATAAATTGGATTTACTATATGTGATTGCAGTTGCACTTTAGCTCCTGCTCACTTCTTCATACACAGATAAACCACTACATAAACAAACACTGCTATCTAAGTGAATCTCAAGGAAAATGTTTAATTTACTTTCGGCAGTGAATATATCCTGAGCTATATTAGCTCACAGACAGTATATTACTGGCCAGTTCAATACTATTTGTTGTCTACCCCAGAGCTGTGTGCTGGCCTCTATAAATTACAGGTGAAGATCGCCGCCGATGAGGCGATTTCCCAGTTCTTTGGAAGAAGACGCCAGACTTCCCCAAAGCCCCTAGTCCCCCTGCTGAGACACGCAGCCTTTCCCGCGGATGCCGACAGCGGTGCATCACATCAGCCGAGAGCAGCATCCACACAAAGCAGAGAAATGAACGTGGGTCCTTACTCCCTCAAACGAAGGCTGCCAGACGCAGTTGCTCGTTAGTAGATGAACAACTGCACTCTGTTCCCTTTCCCACATCCCTGCAATCAGAGCTGTGGAGTAACTTTACTCAGGAGGCAGTACGTCTCCTAAAGGTGAAATATTTCTTTCAGGAAAAAGCAGCACCAAACCAATCATTGGCTTAAGTAAGAGCTTCAAAAACAAATACTTATTTCTGTGATTTTCAGTATCAGCCAGTAGCATAAAAGTCAGGTCTTATGTGGTTTCTCATATTGATCTTCTGTGAACGTCCTTCATGAAAGTTTTATCTGGCAATAAAGAGGCAGTATGAAAGAGCTGTTAACAATTTATGCAACCCGTTTTTTTTGTTCCCTCACACCAGTGTAAAACAGAAGCAACTGCGTTGAAATCAGTTGAGATAAATGCTTGCAAAGGCAGCGTAAAAGAGGAATGAGCCTGTAATTCTTGAGCTAATTAAGAGTATTCAAAGCCACTTCTAAAGTGCTTCCTATCCTATGTCAAATCGCAGGAATCAATGATTACTTTCTAAAACATAATTTGCTCGAAATTATGGAAGGCTGTGGAAGGTTGATCCTGCTTCTAGTGAAGTTAATGGACAACCCCTGGCTGAGGAAAAAACCTCTTCAGCAGGGGTAGAAGCAGCCTGCTAACAGCAGACAATTATGTAATTCATAGGTACATGCAAGCAAACACGGCACCTTTGACCATGCTAACGTTATCAGCGAGGTATTGAACGTAGCCATGAAGAATCGGTGCTCACAGAATATTCCACTCGGGGGCTGCCTACCCTGATATTCTATTATGTCGGATTGTTTTGTGTATCGTTCGTTATCTTCCTTGAGAATTTCAGTGGTATGCCAAGGAATCGCGGTTTCCAAGTGTGCAGTCAAGGACAAATCTTAGGCAAACGAGAAACCTTTCTGAAGGGCACATTTGCTCGAGCATTAAGCAAACAAACAAACAAAGCAAGTAAACAAACATGAAAGCACAGTTATTTTGTGACTTTTTTTACTTAATAGATGTTTCGAATGCAAAGATATTTCATGTGTAGCTTTACATGCATTCATTGCACCCGTGCAGTGAGATTTATAGCAAAGTTGCAAGTTTTTAAATTAACAATATGTCTAATGAATTAATACGGGATTCAATTAGCGACAAGAAATAAAGCTACAATTATTTATAGAAATACCAACAGATAATTCTTGGAGGGGATTAGGCGCAGATTATTAAATTTTCTAAATGCCCATTTCATATCCTTAAGTCTGGCGCTCACGTAAACACCGCGGTCCCCCAATAGCGCTTCTCAGGAAAATTAAATGCCTATGGCATTAATCACCTGGAAAGATTTTCCACATATCAGTATCCAGGATTAGATGACACCAGATAGCCTCCAATGTGATCTGACTAGAAGAGGTATGCACAGTCATTTACATGGAAGATGTGAGACTGGACTCTGTGTGTTCATTAGGATACTGCTACGGAGGGTGAGAAACAGTGAATGATTCAAGAAAATGGTCTCCAGACAGGGGATTAAAAGGCAAATTTGACATAATCAAATGCATCTGGAAAAGCAGTTATAATATGAAGTGCAATACCAATAATTTAAAATTCAATTATTCAATTGAATAATAATAACCTTTTACTCAAGCTAATAAACCTTTGTAAGCATATGAAACACATAAAAGTCTCTGCCTTTTTAAACAGAATAATAAAATTCATTGAATAAATGGCACTTTAATGTATAATTCAGATTTTACCATTAAGAAGATAATTTCTACTGAACAGCTTTAGTTTTTCTCTCATTCCTCAGTCAAGACCCTTATAAATAGCTTTCTCAGAGACACAGAAAATGATCTCGCATGACTAAAGGTAATGTTCTGAACTCTTCCTGTAAAAAGAAAAGACTGTATATTGCTGTTAAGGTTTAGAAATACGCATGAGAGCAAATAAAGATATATGTATTTGCATCTGAGAGGGAGCAAGATAGAGAAAGCAAGCAAGAGGCGCAGGAGGGAGGTAGAAAGCATGATGTCACACATTTTGAGCAGGTCATTAGCAAAGAATTGGTGGATCTCAGCGTTGTCATCTGATATTAGGTGCACAGATGACAGGAGAAAAAGGAGCTGTAACGCTGGAGGGACTGTAGTCATATCTCATAACATGCAACGGCAGTACCACTTCTATGTGTACATTAAACAACACAATTCTGACTTAATCTTTTAGAGAACTATACGCGGAATAAACTCACTGAAGTATTCTCTCATCTTAGGCCTCACAGCAGCATAACTTCTGATGCTTCTACTATTTTTGTTGTTATTGGTGGTGGTGTTCTTCAAAGGAATGGAAAAAGTGGGATCCACTCGTGGCAAAGGATACTCTCTTGGCAGGGTGACTTTTCTATGGCTATCACTCAGAGAAGCTCTCAAAGAGCTTAGAAAAGTTCTTGTTGTGGATGAAACAAAGGGCAAAGCGCAAGAACAAAGCAAAAAGAACATAGTCAGGGGTCAAATGGTTGGGATAAATGTAATATACAACACGGCTATACAATTTGTTCCCCAGCTATCATCAAATGCACCCCTGGCACATTTGGTGAGGTGAACAGATTCCATCTATTTTTATTTTATGTAGAAAAGAAAGCTGCATTCTGTGAAAAGTTTAAAGTCGAGTCAACAAGCAGAGCCTTTGAAAACTGGAAGGTTTCAGGTGCTTGGCCTAACCAAAGTTAACGTAACCATGTGCTTCAGCAGTCCGCACATGTGGGAGCTGAAATCCCGAAACAGTTACAGCCAAAGGAAAACTTCCGCTGACTGTAGAAGGGCCTGCATTTATATGAGAATATATACATTTACCATTTTATATATGGCAAAACCAAGATTTAAAAACTCAGTAGGTGTTTAAATGGGTATGAGGCTTTAGATATATTGGGACAGAGGTACACTTTAATACTCACATGTGGAGTAAGTCTGAAAGTCCTTTTATAAAATCGCATAATCCTTCCTCTGTATAAGTTAGGTGCAGAATAATAATTATAAAAGATGAAAAAAGAGACACTGAAACAGCTCTCCTTAGAAATGCATTAGGTTATTTGAACACCCTGAATATTCCAAGAGGAAATCAAATTCATATAAAGATTTTTTAAAAGCTGGAATTACATAAGAAACATTTTTTCTCCCTCCCAGCAATCCAGAGAAAAGCAGACTGCTGACATTATTAGTTTTAAATTCTTCTTTCACCCCCACTGATTCCATACATTTAGCTGTGGTGCAACAAGGGCCAACCAACCCTCAAAAACCATCCTTCTGCAGCCCAGCAGTACCGGCAGCGTCTCGCACCAGTAAAGCCGCCTACCACACGGGACTACTTTACAGGGTTTAGCGACAAAGCCTGAAATTTATACTCCAATGTATGTGGAGTCATATCATGCATGGCTAAAAAGGCAGTTTCCAGTGAAGCAGGAAGTGTAGCAACAGCTTCAGAAAAGGTCACTGCAAATTATGCTGCCTCATAAAGTGAGCTTACCCATGCAGACTGAAAAGAAGACCAAAGGGCAGAGCTTTATGTTTTCCTAGGACTCAGAGGAGTTTCAGATACCATAAATTCATCGACGGATAGCCTGTTTTTAATTCCCACTTCCCAGACATTAAAAAAAAAATATATATTTCTCTCTCCTTTTTGATACAACTCGTCGAGGGCAATATATGTTGCTCCTTTTTCCTCCTGATTGCCAGCCTTTGCCGTCATGGGTGTATTCACAGAAGCAACAAATTGCTTTCCCCAGCCTGCAAAGCCAATGTTGCCAGGTGTGGGTGGGTGTGAAAATGTACTGAGGGTCCAATCTCTCACCCACCACGCAAGAAGGGCAGGATAGGGGGCGGGAGGGGGGCTGGCAGGCTCCACAACCACGAGTCACAAGACAGGTAACCTACCCAAAACGGGTGTTGTACTCACAACACCAACTTTATGCACCTGCCTGAGAGGTTTCAGGCAGTGGTTAGTCTCTGGACACTGTTTCCATGGTTGATAGAGAGAGATGGATGCATTACTCCCAGGAGGCGCTGGGAAAGGAGTGTTGCTGAAGTGTCCTGTGTTGCTCCAGCATCTCTCCCCACTGGTCAGAGAGAGCCCCAGGACATCTGCAGCCTAATTTAGGCATCTGAAGCAAGGTCAGTGAAGCTGTAGGGTACAAATACCTTCCTGCACCTG